CCTGATGACTGTACTAACCTTCGTACCTCTGTGTTGGGCATAACATAGGATTCGAATTCAAGAGCTCTGGCCATTGCATCTTGTATAGTAGAGGGGTGTGCTTGCTTCACTTGTATCTTCAGTTGTAGACTGTCCAAGGCTTCTACAAACTGATCCCTCAGCAACAATTTGAGGACAATGGATGGTGCAGTTGGGTGGGCCTCGTGTGCCATACTTTTCAAGTACTGTGCAGGCTCTTTCCTTTTGCACGAACTGTCGTCCTAAACCTAGCCCTGTAGACTTCGGACTGACTTTGAGTTCCATATCCGAGCTCTAGAGCAGCTACCAGTGCTCTATAGTTGTGCCTGTCATCTGCTGACAACCGTCCAAGTATTTCCAGTGGTTGTCCCTTCAGGCTTGTTGCCAGATATACTGCTTTCTGCTCCTCTGTCCATCCATTCATCTCTGCCAGGAGCTCAAATTGTGCTCTATATGCTTCCCACGGTGCTTTCCCATCGCATTCCTGTGGCTTCCTTCGTACTAGATCACCCTATTGCTGACATTCATATCTGGGATGTGACTTCTGGCAGGACTGAATATGTTTGCATTAGGGTTTAACTGCAAGATCTGGAAGGGGCTTCCTGTTGTCTGGGGCTGATTAAGTCGATGGTTAATGTATCCTCCTTGTGTAAAATACAACAAATCACCCTTTAATGTATTTAATTCGCTTTTAAATTTACTTATGTTTTCCATTTGTGTACTCTGTCTCTCTCTCAATTGTTGGAGACTTTCTTCTTGTTTATTTTCTTTCTCCTCCATCCACTGCTGTAGTCTCTTATTTTGTTCATTTTCTTTCTCCTTCAACCACTGCTGTAGTATCTTTTCTCGTTCTTCTTGTTTCTTTTCTTTTTCCTCCAACAACTGTTGTAATCTCTCTTCGTGTTTCTTTTCTTTTCCCTCCAACAACTGCTGTAATCTTTCTTGTTTGTTTTGCTGTTCGAGCTGCCACTGTTGCAGGTTTTCTTGCCGCTGCTGTAATCTCTCTTCTTGTTCTTTTCTCGTTCTTCTTGTTTCTTTTTCCTCCAACAACTGCTGTAATCTTTCTTGTTTATTTTGCTGTTCGAGCTGCCACTGTTGCAGGTTTTCTTGCAACTGCTGTTGTCTCTCTTCTTGTTTCTTTTCTCGTTCTTCTTGTTTCTTTTGCTGTTCTTGTATTGCTGCCATCAAATCTGCTAAGCTGTAGTTTGATTTGCCACCGCTCGTTTCCTTCTTCTTCTTTTTTTTATTTTTATTTTCCATCCCACTCTCTGATACCAGTTTGTTACGTCTCTGTTCGTTTGTTAATTTTCCATAGAAATTCTTTCCTAGAAACTTCAGCGATACAAGTCCTTTCTTAAATAAAAGTAGTTTATTCTTTCTCAATACAACTTTGCAATACACTTAATTTCCACAGTCACTTTTACTTAAACACACTATAATTCACAACGAACGATTCACGCACTTTACTTACTACCGCGCTTGACTCAGTTGTCCGTCTCTGTATATCTGCAATTATCTATCTCTATCTATCTATCTCTATCGTCACTTCTCGCCGGTCTTATATATACAAAATAGAGGGCGTATCTAGAAAACGCTAGGACGTTCTACAGGTTCCTCGATCTTTCTAGAGCTCCAACGCATGCTCCCAGCGTCGCGTGACTTCTGCTGTCGTAACACTACCTACTTTCGGTATTCTTAATAATTGGTGGGTTCCGATAGATTAACAGGAGGTTCGACAGTAAATGTTATGCAAAGTTAAAGTATTCTCTGAATTTTGATTGTGTTGTCAGTAATGAAAGAGACTGGATAAAATAAAATAAAATGAAAAAATTTTATTAAAAACATACAAAGCAATAAATGAACTCACAAAGGACGGCACCTTTACTGGATAGAGTTCTCATAAAAGAAGTTTGTCATATTTCTCTAAAATATTTAAAAATATATTTCAAATATTCCAGACTGAGAAACATACCTTTGTAAACACGAAAAAATAATTCTAGTCTTCTTAGGACGCGTGCGCTAACCACGTAACTGTTGATAATTCCCACTGAAATACAGAGGAGATTGTAATATACAGGTATCACCTGACGTAGCAGTGGAAAATATCACTCTCCACTTCCACATAATAAGCTCAACTCATAAACATCATAGACGACAGACGGCACGTCATCACCCAACTATGTGTAATTACAGGTCGTCATTGCTACAGTGACAAAAGGCTAAGTGCAATCAAATATGTAATGTAGCTGTGCCCATAGGCTATAGCTTGCAATAAATTATAACAAAAACATTGGCTCCTTAGAAATTTCAAGTTTTGGAATTGGCGTAGAAATTACCTTTAAATAACTGAATATTAATATATAAGGAATTTGTTGTTAAAAATTTATTTTTTGGTATTCAAGAACATACGTAAGTGATAAAACATATATTGTGACTCTGTAATACTAGTAGGTGTGGCTGTTTTTCAAATGGATATGTTATATGACGTTGAAATAAACTGTAGACTCGTAACTATACATTGAAATATACGTAGTATGAGGAAAAAGTATAATGAATTGCTAATATATTTGAACAAGTTGGGATATAAACCACAAATTATTATACTTTGTGAAATTTGGATTTTTGAGTACGATATTGGAAACTGCAAATTAACTTTTTTTCCATATGGGGTCAGTTGATGTGGTTCACCTAATAATCACAAAGTAACCATCAGAGTTTCCCGATACTATAACTTTTGATATAGTAGATGTATCTTCACGAAATTTAACAAGCTTTGAGAAAATATAAAAATTATTTTGTATGCAAAAAATCAGATTTTTTAATCAAGAATTTTTACTAAAGATTTGTCCGTGAATATGTGGAGTCAGAATGTTGACTGCTCCAAGTGAAAAGTAATTTTCATGTTAAGAATAAAATACTTTTCTTCATCTGAAAATTTTTAAGTTTCATTTGTGTAACCTCTAAAACCTCTTAAATAAATATCAAACGTTTTTTTTTCTGCAGGGGTTTTGCAGGAGAGGTAGATGAAGTACATCCAGCAAATCATCATTTAGCAATTTCTAGGTACAAGTTGATGCTTGTCAGAGTGTAGGGCTTCTAGCATTCACCTACACGATTTATTGCCCCCTTTTATGGGAATTTCTAGTCTAGAGTTAACCACACTGAAGCCACACAAGCCTGTGGTGGAAGCAAGGCAGACTTCTCTCTCAAGATGTTTTAGAGAAAAGCCAGTGAAATGCTGG